TCGCATTTAGCTACGGAACCTGTTTTCGGTATGCTGAACTTAAGAAAAGGTTTAGCAGTAGAAGGTTCTTCCCTCCGATACACGGGAAGATCCTTTAATGGTTCCGTAGAAGTTTTTATTGCGTTTTTGTAATCGTGAACCTGTCTGAAGACTTTTTCGTAACCACGGAAGTTTTTTTGAGGGTTCAGTATAGCACTAATTTTTTTTAGAGTGTAGCTTTACACTGATCGCAGAAAATAGCAGTAATCGATATTTATCATGTGCGTTTTTTATCCATTGAAATTTTAACAGACTAGTGATCAGAAAACGACACCTTTTTGTTCAATTGTTCTTCGTAGGACCAAGTCTGATGGAATTGGTTTAAAAAATTGACAGTTGTTCCAAAATACTATCAATCAATTGAGCGATTTTATGTGAGATTAAGGAAATTTTATATGTCGCTCTCATATTTTTTCGATTTGAATCATCTTCAATAGAAATATAATTCTGTAATTAAGATTTTCCATTGAAATTCTAGCTTTCCACTGAATTTCACCAACAATGCGATTCAACAATAAAATTCTCATTAAAATTTTCTTACTCAAACTATTTTCAGATGCAATATAGTTTTAAAAAATATTGTGAAACTGATACTTTTCTCCGGCAACTCAGTTTCGTTGAATATTATATCAGCAATTGGTATATCTCACCCGAATCAAATTTGATAATATTATGTCATAGTATGTTTTATGAATTTGTATTTTTAATGAAAGATACAAAAAAATTGCTCTTTTGTGAACTACTTTGTGTCTATTTTAAGTTGATATAAACGAAGAATATATTCACACGACTGAAAAGTTTTTGTATAACTTAACCATACAATAGCTTTCAATATCAAGATATATGTGAAGATTCAATCAAAAATATTTCTGGTCAATGTGTACAAAATGGTAAGTGCCTAATAATTCAGATGAATTTTAAATGAATGAATGATTTATCTCCGATTATAATTGACAAGACATATCTACTTACTCTTCTTAGAATATTTTATCATTTCTTCTCATACTAAACATCATCTAATTTAAATAAGCTATATTAGCTAAACTGCAACGCACTTTCTATTAAATTCAACACAAATTAAATACATATCGTGTTCGAAACCTTCGTCAATACGACTAAACGATTGTATAGCACCTTTATACGATGTTAATTTTAGATCCTTATTCTATCTATGCATAATTTCCTGTGTACATTACCCTTCACCAAAAGAATGTATTTATCATAATGAATACTTTTACATCTTCAGAGCGCATAATCAGTTATTAAATGCTTGACCACAAGATGAACAAAATTTCATCGAAGGATTTTGGCGTGCGATTCCACATTGAGAACAAAATGCTGCTGCAGGTCGAACATTATATTGAGGAGCTGATGGTGGAGGATAAGGATAGATTTGATTAGATCCATATGAGATATTGCTAACATTTGATGGACTGGGATTTCCGAGATCAATAATTAACTAGGACAAACGAAATAATTAAAGTATTTTAATTAATATTTTGAAAATAAGTATTTACTGTATAAATCAGTGTACTTGTTCGACTACGCCCATTTCCTCGTCTATAAACTCGTCTAGTATGTAGTCTCCAACTACTTGGTATTGGAGATTTGGATGTATATTTCATTGATTCAGTAGCAATTGTTCTTCGTAAATTAAGTCTTTCTCGATATTGTAGAATAACGTTAATAATTATTGCAATTAAAAAACTGCCAATAAGCACACCTATACCGATACCCATTAGAACTGAAAAGCCAGAACTATGAGAAGCAGATGCAGTTAATCCACCAATAATAATCAAAGCAACTCCAGCAATTATACAAATAAGTAATACAAGAAATGAAAAAAGCATAACTAGCTTTGAAGCAAATGCATTATTAATATTTTGAATAGATTCTTGATATTCAACTTGAGAAATTATTCCATTTAACTGAGGAGGATATGTCAAATCAAAACCAGATTGACAACATCCATCTGAAACATTCATCAATATCTATAGATTTATTAATTTAAAAGAAAGTACGATTTCCTTACGTTGGACCACTGAAACATGAATTGATACTGAACCTGTCGGAACGACAATCATAGATTTTTTCTTATATAAATTAAACTAAAAGAAGTAAAAATTTTAAAACTTGATCAATCAGAGTGAAAAAGAAATTCATATCTGGCATTGCCTTACTTTTTCACATATAAATATGAACAAACGATCAAATCAACCTCCTTTTCTTTTCAATTTTACGTCACACAACAAAATACACTTCAACACCTCCACCACCAACAACAATAACGAAGAGAAAAGAGAATTAAGAAAAGTGAAACAATGACACGCAGAACTAGATTTTTTCAATGTCAATTAATCGATCGCAATCGATCGCTTCATATTGTAACTAACAAAAAGAAAGAGAAATAAATATACTTTTAAAAATATACGGTATTTGTTTAACATTTGATTATTGAAGATATTCAAATAATCAACATCAATAGTACGAGTATAAATATTCTTTTGACTAATATCTTTTGAATTCATTGATATATTTGGTTAATGGAAAGTTTATGCCGAGGCGTATTTTTGAAAGCACATTTGTTTCTCTTTCTTTCTGTTAGTTGCTATGTAAAACGATCGATTGAATTAGACTGTTCGACGTTGAAAAAATCCAGATTTCTACGTCATTCTTTCGCCTCTCTCCTTTGTTGTCGTTGGCGGTAATCAAGTGTATTCTGCTACATAACCTAAAACCAAAAAGAAGAATGACGTTTATTCTCTCTCTCTCTATATATATATGTGTGTGTATGTGAGAAAGTAGCTCAATGCCAAACATGGATTTATCTTTCAGTCTATAAATGTTACTAAAATCAAATGAATTTCTTTAGAATTATTTGAAAAAGAACATAATGTTTCCTTTTTTGTTTCGTTCTAGTTTGATTAAAAAGAAAACTAATAATGATAATTATTCCCAACGCAAAACCAAATACATTAACTGTGTCAATGGTGCCAGATAGTTTTTCTCCCCCCCCCCCCCTCCCCTCTCAATAATATGTATTTCTATTTATATCTTTAAGTATCATGTTGCAAACGAGAATTTGATCCAACATTTCCTATTCAATTAAATGGAATAATTCGCCAAGATGAATATCAACAATCAATTGAAACGATCAATCAAGCATTTGGTTCGAGACTAATTCTCCTGATAGTTTATATTCTCTTTGTTCTGTGCTTACTTCTCTCAATAATATTAATTATTGTTGGAGCTATAACAGCATCGAATTCGAGTTCTAAAAAAATTAATGCTATAGCTGCTGTTGGCATAGCATTATTTATTGTTTCTTTTATTTTATTAGTTGTAAGTCTCTGTGTGGTACGAGAAGTGCAAAAGAGTCGATTAAGAAAAGCAGTTGCAAATGAATCAGGAAAATATTGCGCAAGAAAACCAACACCAGTCTTTTTGCGATTAAAAATTTCAAGAGTGGCAATTGGTGGAGGTCGCAGACGAGGTTCTAAACTCGTATATCATGTAAGCATGTTTATATTATTTTCTAACAGAAGATAAGCTAGTATTTGAAAAAAAAGTAGATTTTTCTTATACATTTATATCGATTATAGTTGATTATTGATATTGGACATAATGGCCAACAGAATGCCACCAATGTGCCATATGGATCTAATCAGGTCTATCCTTATCCTCCACCATCAGCTCCTCAATATAATGCTCAACCTGCAGCAGCGTTTTGTTCTCAGTGTGGAATAGCACGCCAAAATCCTTTGATGAAATTTTGTCCATCTTGTGGTCAAGCATTTAATAACTGATTGTGATCATTTCTGTTGAAAATATGGGTGTTACAAGAGAAATACTCATGTTGATATTCACATTCTAGTTCGAATATATTTTTCATAATAATCTTTAATAAAAATAAAAACGATTGTTAATAAAAGGGAAATCCTAAATTATCGTGTCTCTATGAGGGATGTAAATAGAGATAAAGCTGAAAAATTATAATATTCAATTAATCTTGTAATAAATCTGTAATTATAAATCAATTACCTAAAGTATCATATTCTGGAGAAGTACTTGCATGTATCCATATCATCTCTGCCAGTTATATGCCAATATCAATTAATGAGTGCTGTATTGATTTGAGTACTGCTCGATATTTTAGTTTTGGACAAATTTCAGTGATTCAGAATAGAACAGCTGAAACACAATTTTGTGCGGTATTTCAAGATTTTTCTTATCGTTATTATTTTCAGTAATGAAAGTATCAATTAGCACAATAACAAGTAATCAATGTGGTTCAGTTTCTAAAATGGTACTAGCTGGCACCACAGATTCAATTGGTTGCATAGTGACGTTTAACAGTTCTGATCAAATAGCGGAAATGTTTTTTGCTGCGGCAATAATCATTGAAGATTTCAGTAAAGCAACTTCACTAATACCGTCTAGCAGTGCACCAGCTCAATTTATTATTCAAACTGTTGGTACATTAATTTACTCATTAAAATCAGAGGTAGGACGCAAGTAAATGTACTTGTACTTAGCTCAGAGTACTTGTACTTGTACTTGTACTTCTAGTAGAGTACTTTATACTAGGGGTGGACCATTTCCGTTAATTTGAAATTAATGTCAACGGCAACTCGTTAACCGTTAATATTCACATTAACGGTTGATGTTAGCGTATAAGAAACATCTTCTATTACTTCAGACGCAATTGTAGATCCATTCTGACTCCGCATCTATAGATTCATGAACGAAAACTCAAACGTCCATGGTTAATATCGCACAACCGGAGTAAAACACTGCCTCCTTGAAAGGAAATAAACAACCAATGCAGATCTCTGGAGGTCAAAAAAACGTCCTTATATACGGCGTCCCTAGTCGATTTCCAGCGAAAATAAGCTTTTGAAAAAAAATCGCGGTCATCGCTGATTGGCCGAAATCGACCAATCCGAGCACAGACAGTGGTTTCTCGCCTATTTTCAAGGAAAAACCCATGGTTACCTATACTAGAATGATAGACCGTACTCGATTACCCCAACATTGGTACAGGTAAC